ATCAGTTCATTTCGTATTTTTTGTCTGCTTATTATAATAGATATTCTATTTCCGCACAAAACTAGCGAAACGTGCAGGATCTTGAAGCTGTGGGACCCATTTTCCAGTATCGCATTTTTAAAGTGGATGGGAGTCCGCATAAACTGACTGTGGGGCTGTTATGATCGAATTCGTAAAAACTAAAATGTAAAATGTCTGATCCAGGGTCTGATCTCTGGCTCGTAGTACCGGCTTTATAGCGCCGGCTTAAAAAATACAGTAAACCTGATAATGTTTAGAATGGTTATCGCCTTAAAAGGAGAGAGTATATTTAAAATAATCATAGGAACATGGTACGTGATTCCTGAAATTTATGCTGGGGCCTTGTAAATAAAGAAAAACAGCCTTGATACTAGTTTGGAAACAAAGTGAGAGCAAAAAAAATCCAACAAAAGTGGACGTGAAGCGGAATCGGCGGGCTAATATGGCAAAAACAATAATAAAAGGATTTTGGAGTTCAACCACATCAATTTTCATCTCTCACGCAGACCTCAAGTGCTACGAGAAAGTCATGGCCATGCGCGGATGCACTTTACTTATTTTTAAACTAAGTCAACGATGAATTGCGATCTTTGCTTAGATCAAGCTTCGTTGTTGCATGGGATATAGCTTGCTGATGTCGTCTTCGGGTCTCTCACGAGGCCCTCCAAACTTCCCTTTCACAATTTAACCGCTTCAGCTATTAAGCTCTTGGAATGTGTAGCCTGAGTAGCAGACGCTTGGAAGTAATGGGCGCAAGAAAGAAAGTTGCGCGCGAGTGAGGCTGTGAGACACGCGTGTTTCCCTCTCGCGCGCCCGTTCTTTCTTTCACCAAAATACTTCCAAGGGCCTGAATGCTGATTTCTCGCTGTTCATTGTCTCTTTTATTGAAAAAAAAAAAAGGCTTATTCCTTGCCTAAAATGAAGCTTTTAATGAGGAAATACAAACTTTCCTCATTTCTTTCAAATTTCATTGTCAGTAATGTTTACCGCAATCTAAACCGAGTCACCATGGGTCTTAATAACTGGAATCGAAACTGGAAAATTGTTCATTTAGAGCGCTAATACCCGAGCGTGGTCTTCTTCCATGCAGACCTATCTCACTTTTTATTTCTTGATCTGTTTATCTTTTCAAGGTTAAAACGTGCCACTATGGAATCGAGCGACCTAAGCACTTTGATGAAGAGACTTTCAAAAGAAGGGTACAAAGTCGTTTATGATCCCCCCGGGGATGGAATGTGCCTCTATGCTGCTGCTGCGTATCAGCTTTGCATGGACGCCGCTGCCTTAAAGGATATGGTATTTGATTACCTGCAGCGTAACAGATTTGACGTAAGAATATCCCACTTGTCGGTAAATATATTAAAATCAGTCATAAACTACAATGTCTTGCAGGCGTGCTTATCTATGCCATTCACAGGCGGCCCAAGCACAGTATCCGAGAGTTGAAACATTACTACGTGTGGTTTCATATTGCGTAATCCTTAAAATGGCCGTGAACTTAAAGGATTTGCATGGAAATTTCAGGTTAAAGATTCAAGAAGATAAATGCACGCTAGAGTTTTCAATAAAATAAACCTTACGTTATTTACTTTACTTGTTTTTCGCGCCCCCACGAGTTAGGGGGTGGAGACGTCTGACATTTCGGCTACAGTGGAACCTTTACAGTCGACCCTGCGAGCAAGCTCTCCATTTACATCGAAGTCCTGTTTATAACGAACGATTTTATTTATCCCGGTAATTGTAACATAAGGAAAATTTCCTCTGTATGATGAAACCTGGTTATAGCGAACAAACTTGCCAGTCCTTTGGCACTTCGTTATATCGAGGTTCCCTATACAGTGGAAACCCGATATAACGACATGCCAAGGGAGCAGTAACATTACATCGTTACATGATATCGAAACTCCCGATATGGCGAAATGGCCATAAAATAACAGAAAATATCGATATATCGGGGTAAACCTAACATGTATTTTTTAATGCATTTTATTTAATTAAATTTGTAATGAGTATCAAGTGATTCACAAATGTAACATTTCACCCACGCAGCAATGTGCTTAAACAGTGCTAGTTCACAAAGCACTAGAAGTTTTCAAAGTTTACACAGTAAATTCTATGTGTGAATCGTACAAAAGTGCAACCAAACGAAAGTTAAACCGTTTGAAGTTGCAACTGTTATCGTCATTACTTTTCGAGTGCGCGTGCCAAAGAAAGTAGTAGAAAGTAGTAAAAAAGAGGTCCTCCTTCAGTTTGGTTTGCCTCATCACGATGTTTGACTTGCAATCTTAAAACGCGTCCTCCATCGCCGAAAGAGAGGAAATAAATCCTCTCTCTCGTTCGCCGGAATCTTCCAACGTAATTATAAAATCTCTTATGACGTCGGAGGCGTAGGTTCATTCACTGACATATCATCGTCAGTTTCATTTTCGTATATCATCGTACAAAGGTTTTGAGCAGACAGAAACCTTAGAGATTACTCGATTACTGTAAAGGTATTGGAAATTGTGACTGTGTAGTGATAATATCGTTATATCGGGAACGATTTTACGTTCGGTCCGCTAATTTTTATTGTTACATCGGGAACATCGCTATATCGAGGATCGCTATATCGGGGTTCCACTGTAATACAAATTCTTTTGTTCACGGCCATTTTAAGGACTACTCATTATGAAACCACATATATTAGTGATTTAACTCACATACTGAACTTGGGCCGCCTATGCGCCATTTATTTATTTTCCGCATACTTACAACATGTTTTCTTTGAAAAAAGGAAGACAACAACGACAGGCTGGAGTTCATTTGCAGTGTTGACATCGGTGGGGTAGATGTTCCGGACTCATGGGACGAGGCTCTTCAGCTTTTAAAAAAACACTATGCAAACTCCATGATTATAAGGACTATACCGGAAATCCTTCATTACAGTGTAACAATTGTCACTGTGTACGGGGTACGTTTTCATTTGCTATAGTAATTACGTTATATACCGATATTTGAGCCTCCTTCCTGCTGGATGTTTGAGGCAAGTGGACAACATTATCAACATCTGGGTTTTATACTGCTCGAACGATACAACTAAAGGACACGAATGTCCAAATGCGAATTAACTACAACGACCCTTGACCCTCGAAATATATGGAAAAACTCAGTGTAACTAAACCAACTTAACTATCATAACAGGGGCGAATCCAGGAATTTTTTTATTGGGGAGGGAGGGAAGGCAAACTATGGTTCAAAAACGACTATATGAACTTATTTGTGGTAAACTACCACGTGACCATGTGTTTCTCAATCTGTGAACGCCGGTCGCCGTTTGCGCGGGAGCCAGCTTTGCGAGCAGAGGCGAACAGATCATAGGAAGGTACCCAAAAACAATTACGTACATTTTTTACTATCCCTGGAATTTAGTTTAGTGGCAATCGTAACGCGCGTTTCGTTAAAAATAATCAGCCAGTTAATATAAGTGATACACGATCCTGTCGATGTAAGAATTTTAGTCTAAAACAAGCGTTAGGTCTGATAGGGGGGAGGACCCAGACCGCCTGGACCCTCGTCCTGCATCCGCCACTGCATAACTTATAGAGTTACAAATACATCAAAGGCTACTGTTGTTAAGATTTAATGCCTCAATTCGGCAACTTTTACAACTCCGAATAACTGATTATTTTTTTCTGTGTAGTCTGAGAGAACGAATTATATTAAGACGTTTGCCCCTAAGAAGAACGAATCAATTGGCACCCTTTATGTTGGTCACAGCGGGAATCATTACGTCGCACTCCAGCCTAACCGAATGGTAAGCTTTTGCTTAAAATTTTGTCATAGTTAATTCGTAATCTTAGCGATAAGTAATTCAAAGTTTTAACATTATTTTTGTATTTTAGTTTCTGCCTTTATTTAACCTGTGATCTAGCCGTATGGCTAAGCATATTCACCACGTAAAATAAAGTGTCCATGTCTATGTGTATGTGTCTGTGTGTCATTGCACAGGGGTTTTATAGGCAGAATCTAATAAATGTTAGTTCTACGTCGATCAGCACAAACTTTGCTTTGGAAAGTAGTGTCGTATGACGGCGTTGAGATCGAGTCATAGTACCTTAGATGTTTTGCCCTTCAAACGAGCAAGTTTCTGAATATGCTTGGTATATTGAAATTTGTATTCTCATTTTATTTCACTGAAGGGAAGTAGTGAAGCCGGAACAGCCAGCATGACACGACAAGGCCAAGGAGAGGTGTACCAGCCCGGTAGTTGTAACAACTTTGAGGAAAAAAGACTAGATTCCACTCTCTCAAGTAAAAACGGTGGTAAAGAGTTTGCAGAAAAGGTAAGTTCGTTATCGTTATACGTTATATGTTTGTGTGAGTCGATCTGAAACAAAGAAAAATTTTTTAATGAAGATGGCGTATTTCTTAAATACAAATTCTCTTACTACAGAAACGTTGTTGTCGATCTCACAGACGATATCAGTTCTTGTGGTGAGAGTAACACCCCTACAAAGGAAGAAAAATCTTGGCGCTTCACCAAGGTTAGAGAGCTTTTTCTGACTATTGAAAAGAAAAAGGAACTTGATTACAACAGGAGAAACTTGGTTCTGCAACGTGAGCACAATGTTTTGACATGGAACATTCTCATTTGTACATACGGGAGTTAATTAAATTTCTAATCTACGCGTGTTTAAATTTTTTAAAATGCCAAGTTATTTTATTTTAATTTATGCCTTCAAGCTATTTCAATGTTGTTTCCTCAGTTGCCTCCCCTTATAAGAATAATGCCGTATTAAAGTAAATTAAAGAATGAGGTAAAGATGACAATGATAAGGAGGATGATAGTCATTGTATTCAAAAGATGCTGAACCCGAACTGAATGATTCACGTTAGGGAGTGAACGAAAAGTAGAACAACACGTCAGTCAAGTAATCACTGATTAATCACGAACTCTTAATGACCTGTCATTCCTACTTTAGGGAGGTAAAAAACGTGCAAACGTAACTAACATGGAATGGTGGGAAAAGGATGAAGAATACCAGCCTGGAATAAGTATCTTCAGAGGCATGAGAATAGACCCCCCATCCCCTAAGAAGGTGGGTTCATCAGTGTCACAGGCGCTTTTTTAAAGTAGAAGCGGCTTAGATTACTTTTACATTGAAAAATTTATTGAAAATATTTTTTTAAAACTAACTGTCCTAACGGAGGATAATACAACTGCTGAGAGCAACGGTCAGTTGAGTCCCGTACATAGCGACCTGGGTACGAGTCTGTGGACAGTTATAAAAAGAGAACAATGCGTTAAAATATGTTTTTCTTTCATAACTACCACCACAATGAAACACCTGGGAAATTTATCATAGGAACACTTCTCATACTTCAAAAAAGCTGTATCTTTTAACTATTTCGAGCCATTTGAAAATGCCGAAACATTTTGGGCTAAAGGAAGACTTATAATTTCTTGGAAAACGAAATGACACTTCTTCTTACCGTCCTTGGTCTTTTTCCACTGAATAACCCCTTGTAGACTTCCGGTATATTTTAGGGGGAGCAGGGACATCTACAACAATAATAATGTTTCGTTGTGGAGAACAACGTAGTACGTAGTATTAAACCTATGCTGATATCCCAAGATGGCATTTACTGTATAATATTAATTTGTGCGGAAAGGTGATGATAAATGTATTTCAGCAAAGGCATATATATATATATCACATATATTTGTTTTCTCCGCAGGATTTTGTCGATCTAACGAAAGACCTGTCATCTAGTAACGAAAGTACGCCTGTGAAGAACGAGTATAAAAGACACGGCTTTGTTAAGGTAAGTATCTCAATTTGAGCAAAGAGATAAAATAAACATTTTACACGATAGTTGATAGAATCTTCTTGTAAACGATCTTTGGATTTTTTACCCTGGGCCGAGTTGTTCAAAGCTGGGTTAAGATAACCCAGGGTTCTTGCGAGGTTTAAATCGGCAGATTTGAAAGCTTAAAAAGTATTTCAGTTTTATTCTTTTTGTCTACAAGTTGATGACTGGAAGTTCTAAAAATAACGGAGAAAATTATCCGAGAAAATGCTTTTGAATACAAGAACAACAAACACGGGTTAAATTTAACCCCGGGTTAAGCGTTAGTCGGCCTTCGAACAACTGGGTCCTGAAGCAAGATAGCTCTTAGAAGTTAACTCCTTTCAAATAAAGATTCCTAACGTGCATCCACACTAAAAAAAGTATCCAAAACTGAAGCGATTGCAAGTCAGGAAATACTTGCAATCGTTTCAGTTTTGGATATTGGGACGGGGAAAAGGCGTATTTAACTTGAACATACCAAAATAGAAATCATTAATCTCAGACTCACTGTGAGCATGTGAGCATTATCGGGCCCCTTTCCTCCCTCCCCCCCCTCCCCCCCCCCCACACCCGCCTCTAAAAGAAAACAAATCGGTGTGGGACTAACAAATAACAGCGACATCACTTTTATCGTCTGATTAAACCTTTTCCTTTTTGTCATACAGTTGGCGATGAATAATGAGTGTCAATAAAATTTATACATAGCAGAGTTTTGATACAAATAATTGGTTTGCAGCTTGAACCAGCACCAGCTGGAAAACGCAGAAAAAACGTAGCAGATTCTCTCTTAAAAAGGTAGGTTGAACATATACATTTAAAGAATCTACCAGTTACGTCCTTTATCCTAATTCTCTAAGTGGAAAATCTTAGATAACTTTTCTTATTATCATGGGCTTCATTCTGACTCTTCGTATCACCAACAAACGATTAATTTCTTAATCAGTTGTGGTTAACGTAAAACTAAAAATTACAAACTTTAATTCCCTTTGTTTCAGTAATTTAGAAATTCAAATTAACTATACTAGAGCAAAAAATTGGAGTTTTTCGTTCATGGTTAGTCTGAGATGGGTTAGTCAAGTCTGGCTTAATTGTTTAATTCTTCTAAGAAAGTCAGTTCCGTTTTTAAGGATTTAAATTCCCAAGATGATGTTCCTAATGGATGTTACTCTTGTACTTTTTTCTTCTTGTATTATTTTTCTCTATTTGCTTTTACGTCTCTGCTCGATATAATTATTGAACTAACAAAACATATATTTCGATCAGTTGTCAACATACAAACCGCTTTCAAGTATAATGGCTGCCAGCCTTGCAATCAATAACTTGATCATTTCTTGTAGGGGCACCAATCATCAAACTTTTTCGAAACAGAGCAGCAGCAGTGATGAGGAACTAACACATAGTATATATTCTCCCGCAAAGCGAGCAAGGAAACATGGAGGAAGAAGTAATAGCAGCAACGATGAGAAGACAGCAGACACAGACGATGAAAGAGTTAGCTATCATAAAATAAAAAAGCAAAGAAAGTTTGATCCTGAATTGTGGGATAATGTTGTTGCAGAGAACGTTTCCTGTCTCCCAACCGGTATTGATGGACTTTGTGCATACACGATAAAGTGCAAAGCCACTGACAAAGTGAAAGTTATTCAAACTGACGGTAGGAAGTGGAAGAAAAGTTCAGCTACTAGGTGGAAGAACTTTGGAGAAATGAGGTATGCAGACTGCCGGGGCTCATACAAATGTGAGAACATTGACTGCCCATATAGGGTTCAATATGGAGTCATAAACCGCATGCAAATGAAAAAACGTGAAGGTGTACATGTTTGTGGGGTCTGTGAAGATCCTGCCGTGTTTGTTGAATGCGCTGCACGCCGCTACCTTCAGACAGGGAAAAAACACATTAAGGTATTTCACTGTGGAACACACACCTGCCCAGTGCAAGAAAAACCTGCCAAACCAGCAGAACGAGTGAAAGAAATATTGCAGAAAAATCCTGATATGAAGCCGGCACAAGTCCAGTCAGCGTTTGTCTTATCGGCATTGAGAAGCGGCGAAGACTGGACTACGGTAGTAAGTGAGGCGTCGCAGATATTAGACAAGAAGTGGATAGCGAACCAAAAGCAAGATCTCAGAAAGAACACTTATCCGTCGGGCGAAAATTTTGAAGCTCTTGCCACCTTCAAAGAGTATTGTGACAAGGAAGATAAACTACTAGTGTTTAAGATAAATGATCGAAGATGCAACCCGGACCTACCATCATACGTGTTCAAGACAAGCAAAGCTCGCATGCAAATTGCAGAAAACATGAATAGAGACGGTAAGCACTTCATGAGCAACGAATATTGTTTCTTCGACGGGAAAGTCAAAAGATGTCGTAATTATGTTACACTCACGGCTAGTACGTACTATCCACTACTTAAGCGGCAGATAGTCTTGGCCGTGATGGAAGCAGAAAGAGAAAATTCTGAAAATATTGAGCAATTTTGGACATTGTTCAATGAAGCATTGAAACATGCAACACAGAACAAAGATGTAGTCTTTAATCCAATCGGATGGTGTGTGGATATGGCGGGGTCAAACATGAATGGTTTAAAGGTGTTTGGAGAAGACGCTCTGCAGAGAATAAAAAGCTGCGAGTTTCACTTTAAACAGAATAGAAATAAGATGGCTCAAAAGCTGAGCAGTGACGAGGATTCCCAAGAATTCAAAACGCTCTGCGATGGTTTACTTCTGGCAAATATAAGGGAAACATATGATGCTGCAAAAGATGCAGTTTATCAGTTTATTAACGCAAAGCCCGAGAGAGCCTTTCTGTCTACATGGGTTGATTGGTGGGACCATCGCAGAGCATTTATATTTCGTGCTTTCTCACCAAGCACGGAAGCTCCAAACATGAACCTCGCGGAAGTCATCCATGCCAGTTGGGCGCACCGCGACCGAGCTAATCTTTCTCTTCTTGATGCTGCTCAGGCAGACACAAGAGACAGTGTCCTACTGGAAGCAGAGCTAAAAGCATTCGAGAAGGGAAACATGAAAGGAGGTGTTGGTCCAAGTTATGTGGAACGGCGAGAGCGAACCCATAAAAAAGAAGTCTTGCGTGCTGCTCAAGTTGGCAAAGAAATCTCGAAACTACGAGGTAACTTAGTGGACCCTTCCTCTGGACACCGTCCTCCACTGGCAAAAACAGGCAACAAGAAGAAAAGGAACAACACTCGATCTACTACAGGTTCCGACTTATACAGCAACCCCACAGTTCCTTCTGCCCCCCAGTCATGTCGGTCATACACCAACCCAACTTGTAATTCTGTCCCCCAAGAACCACACAGCAACCCGACTTGTCATTCTGTCCCTCTACCACACAGTAACCAAACTGGTCATTCTGTCCCCCTGCAGCACAACATCCCAACAGGACATTCTGTCCCCCTCCCACACAGTAATCCAACTTGTCATTCTGTCCTCCTTCCACACAGTAACCCAACAGGTCATCCTGTCCCCCTACCACACGGTAACCCCACAGGTCATCCTGTCCCCTTACCACACGGCAACCCAACAGGTCATTCTGTCCCCCTGCCGCACAGCAACCCAAATCCTGCCTCACAACACCCTACTATGTGGCATTCAGGTCTATCACCGTTCCCTTACGAGTTAGTAATACTGCCAAACAATGTGAGAGTGTGTTATGGTTGTTACGCTGCTTTTACAGACCAATACCGCAATTCGCCATACAATGTTGTGATCAAGCATTGCGACCGAAGGTTTATACGGCGAGATCAGGCATCAGGGCAGCCAATTTACTCAATTGATTTTCAAAACACTTATTACCATCTAGATCGTATGCACGTGCGGCGTAAGAATCCACTTTTTAACGATACCGTTCAAGTTTCCATAGAGCTATATCAGTCCTTGGACTCCGCTCAAAGCGACTATGTTTCAGCCAGTGGTTTACAGATTAATTTAGTTTAGATTATTTTCTTTTCCTAAGCAAAATCGGAGGAAGCCAAAAGGAAACTAGATAGCATGTTTTCATTTGGTCTCCTCAGATTGTGCTCACTTAGTACTGAGGGGTATCGATATTTAAGAGATCTAGAGTACTCGCTTTCCCTTGCTCTTGAATTATTGTCGGCTCGGCGCATACACGCATTCTAGTTAAAAATTTGCCGATCATTCGAAATTTCGTATTAAAAGGTTTTGGAATTTTTGATACTGGAATAAATAATGAATGCGTGTTACTGGACTCCTACGAGTTTCGCTATAATAAAAGCTTATTTGAGATATTAGATCTTAAAGTAGCTACAAGTGTTGCCCACTTGATGGTAGTCGGAACCTCGTTCCCAGGACTCTCTCCCGTTATGGTAGTCAGTCAGACTACGGGGGCACTTTTTCACTACAAACAATGTGTGGAAACCTTTGTTTTATTTATTTAATTTTTTTGATTTCTCATAGCAGAAAATTTATTACCTAGTGCTCTCTGCTCTGAAGTTGTATTTTATACATTTTCGTCGGTCTCGAAATACCACAGTTTCATAACTGCTTGTGCGCGCTTGCAAAACAAAACTCAGTTGTTTCAAAGAGCATTGGATACCCCATAGGTAAGCATATTTTGTAAAGCCTGGTTCTCATATGCTGCCAATGTACCTGCGACATAGCCGCCCGTGGGGCTGCCTGGGTTACTGTTGGAACGAATGAGAACGGCATGCGCCGCTGGTAACAAAGAGCCATCGCAGATCTTTACCGCCGGCATGCCTGCGAAGTTGAACACGAGTCAACTTCGCAGGCATGCCGGCGGTAAAGACTGGGATGACCAATGTTGCCGGCGACTTCTGTTCTTATATTGGAACAGTATCCCAGGCAGTACCGGCAGCCATGCCGCAAAAGTGCATCGAAGGCATATGAGAACCAGGATTAAGGTGCTGAACCCAAAGCTCAAGTCTTGATATACTAGAAAGTAAACTGGAAAGGTCTAGTATTGTACATACCATGTCAGAAAACTAACCAACATAATATCACCCTTTATTTTGGCAACCCATTGTTATTATCGCCTGTCAAACTCAGTTGATGTTGCACAGTTCCATTCACATTGTAGCTATTTTTTAAAAATGACAGTTTGTTAATTTTAAAAACAACATTGACAGAAGCATTACATCATCATCTGAAATAGAGGACTTCAAAACTGTTGCTGGCAAGTGTTCTTAGATACACAAATATAACTTTTTCAAGTTCGAAAAACTATAATAATACTTGTTGAGTTCTGTTACAAAGTTTTCTTTCTAATAGTACAAACAAATGAGATGGCTACATAAATTTCGATGTTGTGTTACGTTACACTTTACTCTGTTCGCACAAAATGTCGGTAAACCGTTATACACTGATCATATGTCCCCTCACCTAAGGCTTATCTTCATCACCCAATGTCAACAATGTTGCTTGAAAGCCACCGAGGTATTTAGTAATGTATTACTTTTGATTCAATAACTACATTTTCTTGAATAAAGTCACTTAACTGGTTGTATTTCTAGTAAGCACTTGTACTTCTGTTGTGTACTTAAAATTTCTCCATATGTAGGCAATAGTATGCACGGATAACGCCACATGGGTTAAATTGACGACAAAAACGTATGTAACGAGATGCGGTAATGTGGTCTCGTCTGCGCCTCTAATAAACTAACAAAAATTTTAACTGGCTCGCCTATCGTAAAATATCCTCCACTAAGCCCCCCGGGGCTTATTTATTTCAAACACCCCTAAGGGGGAGCTTGATAGAGACGGGGGGCTTATATCAGAAGGGGGGCAAAGACGATGAAATTTTTACTTATGGATTCCGGAATCCTGGGTTTTGGAATCCGGAATCCCACTAACGATTGAAATCCGGAATCCAAGTTCTACCAAGAGAGAATAGATCATAGTCTCTTGGTTCTACTGACAAAGAATGGAATCCAGTACCTGGAAACTGGAATCCACAGCGTGTAATCCAGAATGAAAGACTGTCTTGAATTCCCTTAGTACATAGGGCGATTACAGGCATTTACGCCTTACCTAATTTATTGTCTTTTCTTAGCTCTGGTGGAGTTGATAACTTACTGTTTTCAGTGTCTGGTTTATTTTCTTTTTCAGCTTCATGATACCGGACGTTATTATTTCCTTACCTACTTACTCACTTAGTTACGATGCATGTTTTCCAGATTTGACTGAGACGCACAATGAATGGCTTCCTGTTGTCAGGTTGTCCTGGTTGCCATTTAGATAAAAAAAACTCAAGAAGTTATATAGAACACTCCGGGTTGCCGTCTCAGTTGTAAAAGCGTCAAGCGAAAATCTTGCTTCGAGGAACAGACTCCTTTCTGTGGATTATTACTTGTTTCCATATTAAATTCATGCCTTGAATACCGCTTCAATGAGGTTTCATGTGCCTATTTACATTTTCCTTATTCTTGCCGAAAATATTTGTTTCACATAAGAGTTCTCGTTTCTTCTACCGACAGACTCGTAGCTTTTCAAGCCCGAGTTTTTTTTAAAAAAA